TAAAAAGGAACTTGGATTAGAGGTGGTCTTAGTGACCTGAGAGTGTGACCGCAGTGCCCAAAGGACAACTGCTTGAGGTTGATCACATACGACCTTTTGATAAGGAATTTTTTTGTTAGCTCCGTACTTGTTGAGACCTTACCACCGGAAATGAATATCCGTGGGATAAGGTGAGGTGTGCATTTCTAGGGTCGACCTTTTCTAACCTCACCACTCTTTGTGGGAAGGCAGCATCGCTGTCATGCTGGTTGTCTGAAGGAAACACCTTACTGCTGTCACACCTCAGTACAGTCAGCAGTCCGACTTCGCCTTCGGACCTTGAGTTTGTTGCTTTTAGTCTTACCGCTCTTCAACCGACCTTTCTGACGTGGTAGGACCTTGAGGAACAGTTGTTCCAGTCAGTATAGCTCGGTTGCTTCATCACGATAGGCAAGCTCGACCACCACGTCAAGCTAGCAACAACGGTCGGGGAATAAGTATAAGTATGAAATAAAACACGATATAACTTTTCAACTTACCTTAGTGATTATCATTAGGGTTCTTTTTTTCTCTTTTTCTTTTTCCTCTTCTTAAATTTAAAAAAAAAAAGTATCTATGCTGAAAATTGTAGAAAATAATCAAAAAAATCAATTAAATTAGATTTGTGATATTTTTTTCGTTCTTGTTGTTGTTGTCGCTGTTACTATTCTAAATTTTCTATATCAAAGTACATAGTTTATAAATCTCTAATGGATTAATGAAAATAAATCATGCATATTATCTGAATAAAGTATATATCTATATCTATATATCTTGATAGAAAATTGAGTCTATGTACTTATTTCATTGTTTCTATGTTAACTATAAACTAATTTGTTGTCAACTATTTTTTTATTATATTTTAAATGAAGTCAATTTTCTGTTTTCTTTTTCTCCCTCTCTTTTTGGTTGTTGTTGTTGCTAACTATACGTCATAAATTACATAGTTTTCACTTTCTTAATAATAAAGTACATTGAATATGATCTTAATAAATGGAAAATAAAATCAATAAACATGAAATAGATTTATCATAGTGATTGTAAACAAAACAAAAAAACGTTAATTGAATCTGGTACCAATATAATGATCTTGAACATATGGTCGAATTATTCTGTTCTATAGAATTATAATCTTACTACTACTAATGAAGAAAAATAATCAAATGTTATAGAATGTCACGGAATGATTTTGGTTCAATAACTGTTCGAAATATAATAACATTAGACAACTGTTTCATCTTAGTATAGCACTCAGTCAACCAGTCAGATACAATGTAGAACCAGGCTCATATATGCATCGGTCCAAGTTCCCATACATCATTATCACAACAAGATGAACACCGATTACATAGAACTAATCACTTCAGTGGTAGTAATATATAAAAGAACGATTATGTATAAGGATATAGTATAGGAAGAAAGAAGTAGTTCGTCGAAAGAAAGATGTGAAGCAATTTTAATCTCATAGTTTAAGGGAAGACAGAGAGTATATACACCTACACGATTCCGATTAATTCTGAGTCTAGCTTCAATTGACTCATTATTTCAACCAGTGAAATCAATTTAGAGCTATATCACATAAATTCTTTAACAGTTGATTATGTTTATTACTTGGATTTCAATCAATGTTTTTTTTCATTTTTCAATTTATCTCAAACTAGTAGTTAGGATGTTATGGAATAATACTTTCCATATCCTAATTAAATCCTACTACCTTCCCCAATCTACTATATCAGCTAGTATCCCATATTTTTAAAGTTTGTTGCCAGGTGTGTGTTTTCTAATCATTTCAATGAATTAAGCTTTACGTCATGATTAACTTATTTATAACTTAAAACATTACACCTAATTTATAGGATTACTGTTTTATTACTTTTACTGTATGTAATTAATGGACGTAAACTTCATGTCCCTTATTTTTCTCTTTCGAAATATATTTCACTGGATTATACTCCTTGAGTAATATCTTCAAACCTTAATCTTTCTGATTACTACTTATACTTTTACTACCTCTACCACTATGGGATTTAAATCGACAATTGTATCTCTGTGCTAATATGGTATGGCAACTCGAACTGATATGCGTATGTACGCAGTTCTATGTTGTTACTGACTGATTGACTGACTAACTGATATATGTCATTTGATAAATAAAAGTTTTTGTTTGTACTGCATATGATAAAACACACTACTATCAAATATGAATATCAAGTACACTTTCATGTTTTCATCTCTTTGAGCTGAAAATTTTCTTTGAAATTTGGTGATACTATTCGATCACATATGATGTAACACAGTTCAAATTAAATAATTTAAAAAAATCAAGTCTTTTAACTAATAAATGATTGATTATTGAGTCCGAATCTTTATCCATGTGTTACGTATACTCAACCACCAACTGCCACGACGTGTGATGTTTTAATGGTGTAGAAGTAGATTAAAAGAAAGCTAGGGGCGGCCAGACCAAAACATGGTACAAATCCATGAAGTCATTGACAAGTGAACTGAGCCATGTTGTTAGGTGTAGACTACCTGATTGAGGTCCACGCGATGATAGCAACCGATGGTTAGAGACCTTTAATGATATGGCTCGAAATCGTTTGCAGTGGTGCAGGTGCATCCACTCTTTGTGTTCTCCCTAAATCTAATCTTCTGAATCCTCCTTGTCTCTTCTTTTTCTCTTTCCAAATTTATTTCACTAGATTATACTCTTTAAATAACATCTTCAAACCCTAATGTTTCCGATTACTGCTTATACTCTTTCTACCTCTACTATTATGGGATTTGAATTGACAATTGTATCTCTGTGCTAATATGGTATGGCAACTCGAACTGATGTACGTACGTACGTACGAAGTTCTACGTTGTTACTAACTAATCGAATCTTTATTCATTACCTTCTATTGTATCTGATTAGTTAATTAATAATTACCCTTAATTCTATAATATAATTTATTTATCAAGTATACTCAGTTGTTATGACACTATTTGGATATGGTTTAATAATCTGAATCTAAATAAAAAAATGATATAGGACATTATTTCTTATTGATTAATAGTTAAATACTTGAATTATAATGGTCCCTGCTCTCTATAATTCATTAAAAAAAACCTTAGTTTATCATGTTAGTAGTACTGTGGTGCGTGGTGTGAGCTACTTATATTCATATAAGTAGTATATAACGTGCGTTAAATAAACGTAAGGTCCGGCAGCAGAAGATGGCGAAGATCAAGAAAGGAAGAGCAAGAGCACAATGGAATTGTAAGAAAACGCATGTACAATGGATTAGTGTTTGTAACGGGAACAGTACAATTTGATATGATGGAATGATATTTTGCAAATTGACGATTGACTTTATGGTATTCCGATTTTATTGAGATAGTCTGTAATCATTGTGCTAAATACAATCGATTGTCCCCACCCGTATTCTTGTTCACTACAGTACAATTCTATGTATATATAGTTGTTATGATTAACATTTTTTAAATAAATGGTAACCTACATTTAAGAAACAAACAAACAAACAAAGGATAGGACATTTTCAGATCTGTCACATTCAATATTCATCATTTATCTATTGAAAGATAATCTAAATTGATTAGATATGTTGTTGGTTATGGCCTCATTTCTAGCAGCACCTTCAGTAAGTTTTATTATTCCGAAAGGAAAGATAATACTTAGGGTCATTGAAAAATCGGCTGAATGTGATAAATGCACGTGATGAGTCACAAAAAAAGAAAGACTTACATTTCCTAGGCGTCATACATACATCACTGATGGCTTAATTTCCCAAGGGATAAATGAATGAATGAGCATACATAAATGCTGATTTGGTTATTCAATAAAATTCCTTCTCCGTTCTTAGTCTTTTCATTTAAGTAACCAATTAGGATCGTGTATAGGAAGATCATGTATCGGTCTCAAAATTGGACATTGCATAATATAACACTTGTAATTATAAACAATAATATATTGTGGCAATACGCTCAAACTGCTTATATTCTAACATAGATTGACCAATTGTAGTTTTAAATGTCAACAGTGAGAAAATTTATACCCTAACAAATTACTTTATTCCCAGTGAACAACTTGATGGCTATCTGAACTCAGTAGCTTAGTGAATAATAACGCGTTAATGTTTAAAACTATAGGTACTGGGTTCAAATACCACTGTAAACATCAACACTGAGATTCAAGTATATCCGATTCAAGAATGTCAAATAAGATAAGTCTTGTCGAAATCGAATGAAACAGTTTTGATTTATATTTTTTTATCAACTTAGCTGGTTGTGAATTTTCATCGACGGAGATGGTTCGGCCATGTGTTACGTATACCTGAACACTGATTACCACGACGTGCAATGCTCACTAGTGTTGGGGGCAGCCAAAACAAAACATCACATCATTCCTTGAAGTCACTATCTTCTAGTCTGAAACATTTTGGTAGATGCATACTACTTGATTGTGGTTCGCGTGACTATTGTAATCTAGGTGACATGGCTCAGAGTCGGTCACAATGGAGTCGGTTTATACACTCTCTGTCTTCCTTTAAACTATCAGATTAAAATTGCTTCATATCCTTATTTCAACCAACTAATTCTTTCTTCCTGTACTATATCCTTATACGTAATCGTTCTTTTATATATTATCACCATTGAACTAACTACTTTATGTAATCCGTGTTGATCTTGTTGTGATAATGAGGTATGGCAACTTGAACCGATGCACATATGTGCCTGGTCCTACATTGTAGCTGACTAACTGTTAATTGATTAAATGCATCATATATTGCTGTATATTTTTACAGTTTAATATTTCAGGTAGTTGACCGTTTAACCTAATTAATCATAATGCCAACTTTACATTTAACTCTTAACTATTTTTAACACTACCCAATAGAATACTTATACTACAATGTATCCTTTTCATATATAATAATATAAAACATAATTTTACTCTCTCTCTCTCCATCTTATTTCAGGTTTACATGAAGATGATTTCTCTAAACGTATTAATACATTCGGTGCTAATGTTATACCACAACAACGTGCTAAAACATTTTTAAGATTAATGTGGGAAGCTTTACAAGATTTAACATTGATTGTTTTAATTGTTGCTGCATTCATTTCACTTGCATTATCACTTTATATAAAATGTAAGTTCAATGGATTTTAGTTATTGTTTTTCAATATTATTATTATTATATCTTATGTTCAGTTTAATGTGATAGATGGTAACTAGACTAGACAAGCATGAGATTGATCACCACCCACTGATCAATCAATTGTGATTACATCTCAGTCCTACAGGAGGTTAGTCACGGCTCGGATAGCTCAGTGGTAACGTCTCTGACTGTGAAGCTGGGTGACACGAGATCGAATCCGCCAGGGAGCACCAGTTCCCTCAAGATTACAGGTACACCTTGCTGACGAGTGCCAAGTAGCACGAAACCCGGGTCCAGGGTTTCCTGTTGACTACCTCCAACCACCATCTAATCTCAATACATAGTGTCCGCAGTGTCGAGTCACCTAGACTGGTGGCCACATTGCAACATGATCGATAGCATTCGATCTGCACTAATAAGGACTAGACAAGCATGAGATTGATCACCACCCAGTGATCAATCAATTGTGATAGATGGTAACCTTAAGCGGTATCGTGTATCTTGTGCATATTGTTTCGATATATTACAAGTAAGTCCTGAAGTGAACATTAAACACTTGGTTACATGTATATCCAGTTGATGAATGTTGAATAGGATGGAATTCGATTCCTGGATTCCACTGTTATTAACCATCCATCTCTGCTTTAGGAAAAAAAAACGATGCTTTTTATTTACTGGCAATATTGAAGCTAATAAGAGATCAAACAATTGCACTCCTAAACATCACTGAAAAGATCTAAACAACCAATTTATTTGAATTAAAATCAATGTGATTTATATTTATGTATTTATTTGAACACATAAATACTGGTACAAGGGGAACTGTGGTACTGCACGAGTGCCCAAACCGAAACAGGTGGTTTTCTTAGGAGGCCACACTCGGAGCCTTCGACCTATAGGTCTGATCCGCAAGGCAGTGGAAAATCGTAAGGAGATGCAGTCCCATGATAGTCAGTGACCAACGATTAGTTCATACGCCATTTGTTCCCTCAGGATACTGGAACCCATGTGCACCATCGGTTTGGAATGAGGGTTTTCCAATTCCCTTAGGTGGACATTTCGTGTCCACCAACCCGGTTAAAGCTCCGGAGATTCGCTTTTCGTCCTCTCAATTTCGTAAACAACACCCGTGATGCGAGAAGACAGTGAGTAGGACTTCCGTGGCAGAGGCTATATACGTGTGGCCATGTGAGAGCATTTGGATAGGGAGAGCAGACTCTCCCCACTCTCGTCCGTACCAGGGCATTTGGGGGCAATGTGATTTGTAGATACTTTTTACCAATGAATATAATTTTATCTGACTTTTCCTATAAATACTCCTTGTATTTATTTACATGATAAGAATAATTTAATCAAAGATACACGGATAATTTCGTTTATTCTGTAACTTGCCAGTATGATACTATCTTTGTCTAATTGAGATAGTGGAGAAGGTTTGTAGCTCAAGTGGATGATTTTGATAGAGTTTTTTTCTCTGAGTTGGATGGTTTGTACGCAGTTGGTTTTATGAATTCTTCGGTTGCTGCTACTGTAGTTGAGAATTTAATCTATGTGGATCTAACTAATGTTCATGTCACTTGATGGATAACATTCTGATACCGGTTTTGAACTTATATGCTAACAACATTACCGAGTGAAACGAATTATAACACTTGAACGCTGAAAGATCGATTTTCTGATGTAGAAGTTTTGTACCCCTGAGACCTGAATGTAAAATAGAAGACAGGATGTTTTTTAAAAGGTGTCGTACTTTCAAGACTTTTTAATGCATTCAAGACAAGCATATTTATAATGGTCCTATGTAAATTCGAAGTTCTTGAAGCTTATGAAGACCAGATTAAAATTAGATAAATGAGAATTGGGTAACTGTTCATTAAGGATAGTAAAAACACCTGGTATGGCCGAGAGTGAGGAAAGTTATCTCTCCCTCACGAAATGATCTCGTATGGCCACGCGTATGCATCCACTGACAGGGATGTCTTACTCACTGCCTTCTCTCAAAGGGTGTGTTGTCTATGAAAGTGAGAGGATGGAAGGTAGACGTCCAGAGCTGTAACTGGATTGATAGATATGATTGATCCACCTAGGGGAGTTTTAAAATTCTGATTCTAAACCAGTGGTTCACATGGGCTCCAGGATCCTAAAGGAGAGAATGGCGTATGGACCTATTGTTGGTCATCGACTACCATTAGAGACTGTATCTCCTAATGTTTCTCTACTGCCTTGTGGATTAAATCTTTAGATCGAATACTCGGCGAGTGGTTCCTAAGAAAACCATCTACATCTGTTTGTACTCCCGGGTTAGTATTTCAACCCTCATACATATCGAATGATTTATATGGCGTATATGTATTCGTTGCCTTCTTGTATCAAACAAAATCAATAAGTTAAATAGAAGTTTCTTTAGAATAGTAACATAATCATTTTAGTATTTCTCCAGCTTTTGAAGACATATTTTAACGAATTATTATTAAAGCTTTTCTACATTGACATGTAATTGGTATATCAGAATGAGTTTTGTGGAGATTTTAGAAAACTTCACAGGTTGAAATCATGAGTCAGTTGAAGCTAGACCATCATTGAAAACCTGGAAGCACTGGACGGCCGTTTCGTCGTAGTATGGAACTCCTTAGCAGTGCACATCCACGAGCCCGCCCCCCGCGGGATTCGAGCCCAGGACCTACTGGCTTCGCGCGCGAGCACTTAACCATTAGACCCCTGAGCCAGCATCCAACGGTGTTAATGTCTAACTTCAACACCGTTGGATGTCGGCTCAGGGGTTTAATGGTTAAGTGCTCGCGCGCGAAGCCAGCAAGTCATGGGCTCGAATCCCGCGGGGGGGGTTCGTGGATTCGCACTGCTGAGGAGCCCCATGTAGGTGGTATATCCAGTCAACGGATGTTAAATAAAATGAAACATCTATTCAAAATCTCATCATTATAGAATATTATTTCATTGATAATCCAATTGTTACTGTAATTGTTTGTTTAAGTGTACATACATATATATCAATGTGTGTGTGTGTGTGTAATGAAGTACCTTTTTACAAAGGATTACTCTTTCATGAAACTGATTAAACTATTTATCGATTTATTATCCATTTTAATATCAGAAAGGGTTTTGTAAAGATTGTAATAATTTCAACAGTTGAGATCATAACTTTGTTATGTAATACTTGTTCATTTCTTCTTTTCTGCCTACACTTTATTAGTTGACAATTAGAAATGACATATTCAAAATAACTATCTATTATTATTGAGTCATTATTTTTACTTTCAATGATTCTTTATTATCTGGTATAGCACAATGTGGAGGGTTAGAAAGAGAGAGAGAGAGAGAGTGAGTGAGTAAAAGAGAGAACATATTAGTGAATATGTGCAATTCATGTGTTGTAAGTGTTTGGATTTCGTTTAATGCTGTTGTAAGAGAATGACATGTTGTAACTTAATTAAAAGTATAATAAAATTTCTAATAGCATTGGAGGTTATTTTTAGCTTGAAAAAAAATAGTAAGATCAACGATCTAAACGATGTTTAAGCATGGTGGAGAAGATTTGTAGCTCAGATGGATGATTTTCTGAAGTTTGTGCTGATGATGTCGTTCAGAAGAACGATGAAAGCTCCACGACCAAACCATCCAGCTCAGAGAACAAAACACCACCAAGATGTTTAGGCATATTTTGTATGTAAGAATCAATGATACCTATGGTTTATGTCCTGATAAGAATAATGAATAGTAACTTTTGGGATCTATTTATGGATCAATATTAAATAATTAAACTATACATATTCATATCCCTCTTATTATAAGCTTTATTTTGACCTATGAACTATTATTATACGATTTACTATTCTTGAATTATGCTCTGTCTATTAAATACTACTCTCCCACATTTCTATTTTGTGGTACGTTGTGATCTGTTTGATTGGTATGATTCGTATCGCAGAGGCTGAGATTGGTATTCTGGACTTAAGTGGCTGGTCTAGGTAGGAAGCAGTATCGATAAGTACTCTAGACTGCTCGTACGGGTTTTATGTGTCATTAGTCCGATCGATAATTCACTGCTCTCTAATCGGCGGTATCGTTACGTAATACATTAACAGGGCACATAGGGCACAAGTTATAACATCTACTTTCCTAATAACAATGTAACAATGACTATGCTAGATATGTATCTCACCCTCTATGCCTAAAATGCGTAACATTGTCTCTTAATTTTACAAGTTCTCTACTTTATAGTTTCATTTTATTGTCATAGTTCCATCAATATTCTGTATAACCTAATAATAATTTTCATCAAAAATAAACAACTGACATTAGTTGATAGATTATATTCACACTTATTGAGTTACTGAATAGCTAACTGTTAGGTCTGAAGCTATCACGAGTTCACTTAATCTACGAACGAGAACAAAGACTCAGTGACCAAAGACCAGTAAGCTAGCTATTTGATGCGTCCCAGCCCCGCTAACTAGAGAGAGAAGTCCAAGGTTCGAATGGGAAAGTATATTCTCCAAACAGCCAAAAACGAGCGATAACAACAAACACAATTTAAAACGTATATATACAGTGCAAAACCGTCCTTGGAGTGAGTTACCATATAGCATACTAAAAGACGCAACGGACCATTAACATTTAAGATATTTCCCAGTGTGAAATACGACAACGAAGGTGACAAGAGCGCCTTTGGCACGAAAATAAAGAAATGACAAAATTAGTTCCTTTCTTAAGTGTGTTCTGGGGATCTAACATCCCCAACACTAACAATGTTCATTTACATTTCCTACTGTTCAAGTATAGACATTCGTTGTCAAATATACATATATCTTTGAACCTATTACAATCCAATTTCTTTTTCCATAATTGATTATCATATCATATACATATGGATTCAACATTTATCAGTCAATATTTTATCGACTCTTCGATACATTTACCCCTCCCCCCCCCCCAATGAAGTGTCTATCAGAAACATTAGAATGAAGTAACAC